TGTGAGAGAGAGAGAGAAATGGGGTTTAACGTCCACTCGACACAAACTAGGTCATTTCGGGACTAACATATAGTTTAATTTTATTTACATAATTCGCTTGCGCGTAGGGGTCTTTAGCAGTGGGAGGAAATCGGGGGACCCGGAGAAAACGCACGAGGTTGGACAGGCGACCCTACTCCTTGCCACGTACAACCGGGGATTGTTTAAAAGGTGTTTCATCTGCCATAGCTTAATATTGCGTGTTCTTAAATGTGTACTGCCGCACCACTGTCAGACAAGCCGAAAATATCTTTGAACTCATGAAGAAGATCTTTAAGTTGATGTGTTTCACAAGGAGAACATTTAGAAAGAACAGAATCGAAATTAAATAAATCTTCAAAAGGTTTAGTAGTTGAATCATGTGGATTAGAAAATTGAGAATCATTGACGACATTTACTTGCTGAAGTTGCCAAGTATATATTACGAGAAATAGTAATAGGCTTATGCATTTCAGTAAAAAGGTTGAAAAAGTAATTGGCATTTGCATCAGTCAATTATTGCCGAATCTTTTATGTACTGAATTTGGTATCAGAAATAATTTTAATCAAAAATGCTACATCCCACATAAGGCCTATTTTGAACAATTACCACATAGCATCAGTCTGTGTGACCCTTTGAAGGTATTTGACATCTCAACCATGGAGCTTGAAGAATTAGCCAGAGACATTGGACATGAATTATCAGTTCAGACAGTTTCACATGTCACATGAACGTCGGCGAACTGTTACTTTCTTACCTTGCCTTCAGTGGTATGAAACTGGATAAAATCACACTGGATGAAGAAGAGATAGACAGAAGATGTTTGTCGTAAGTATGCGTTTTAAAGGAGCTAACTCGCTAACATTTGGGACCTAGAAATTCACAAAAGTGGGTCACAACGCATATAATACTGTAATATGAATGTATATAAACTGATTTACATTTAATGGTTTCCGTTTTTACTCCAATTTCAAATCAGTTATGTTCGGCGAAATAAGTCAGCAATCTCAATCGAGTGCAAATTTCTAGCGTCTAGTTATTCTAGTCTACATAACTCCATTTGATTTGGTGCAATGTGTCTAGCCTCGTCCCTCAATACAACTGGGTCTGAAGCGCATTATGGTACACGATTCGTGTACCAATGTTAAAAAAATTATTTTATCTTAAATATCGGATATCAGAAGCTCATCTTTTCCCGGTAAGTTTACATCATCAATGTTGATTTAAATTGACCAATAATTCGTGTTTTCGATGTCGAAGATTTTGGAGGATTTTGAGTTACGGACTTAGGTCCTTTAATAGTTATCCTTCACAGCTGCAAACTATTGATTTATGACAACCTCTGTTCTTTTTTTTTTGAGTCTTGAGTGTGCATGGTAGTGGAGTGGCTAATGCAATTATATATTATTTGTAGCTTGTGACAAAGGTGCAGTTCTCTGTATTTCATGCCAAGGTTGGTTTAAATCATGTAGTAACACAGATGATCTGTTGCATGGATTGTGGAGTACATTGTTCACTTCAAGTGATAAGTTAGTGCTTGTGGTCAAAGGGGGGGGGGGGGAATAATTTCGTGAGATATACCTTCATTGTTGGGGCATGGCCATAGATGACAATGTAATTAAATTTAAGTGTACCAATACCACTAGATAAGGAATGGTTTTCCTACTATACTATTCAAAAAAAGTAGGGGATATTTGATTTTGGGGGCATAATACTAAAATATGCAAATGACTACGAAAAAAGTCACTATAGAACCTAACAGAAGAAACATTTCCAGTTACATGTGACGCCCAAACGCACCAATAGCTACCGCATGGAATGCAGGTGATGCTTGGGATCATCATGGGGGTCCAACCCAAGATTTGCACGACCCTGACTTTGAATGTTACAGTCATTGTGACATTGAATTCCAGGGTGGAAACATCAGTTTAATTGTTTTAGTGACCCGAAAACAAATTTTGATATGCGTCGGCTTACCCAAAATGAAAGGTTACGTGCCCTTGGCATGCTACAGATCGGCACAACACAGGCGGTTGTGGCGCGGACGATGAATGTTTCTCAGTCTGTCATATGCAGGCTATGGTCCAGATACCGTGATCCACAATCTGTACAGGACAGACCACGCTCAGGTCGACCAAGGGCGACAACTCAAGCCCAGGATCGATTTATCCGTACCTTGGCCTTGAGAAATCGTGTCATCACAGCAAATCAGATCAGCGCTCGTCTTCAAACAGACACTGGTGTGAGAGTGAGTGGCCAGACGATTCAGAATCGACTGCATAGGGGTCACCTTCGCGCCCGACGTCCTCGCGTGATCCCTTGTTTGAGAGATCATCACATTCAGGCAAGACGTCGTTGGTGTAGGGATCGTCAACACTGGGATAATCGACGCTGGAGCAATGTGATGTTTTCAGATGAGTCAAGGTTCACTGTTGATTTTTTGGACAGACGTAGGAGGGTGTGGCGTCGTCGAAACGAGCGCTTCCAAGATGTTAACGTCATCAGACATGATCGATTTGGGGGTGGTTCTGTTATGGTGTGGGGAGGCATCACTGTTGCTGGAAGAACGGCTTTACATGTTGTTGCAGGGCGTGTTACAGGCCAGTGCTACCGGGACAACATCTTGGCAGTCCATGTTGTGCCGTTCGCACGACGTCATGGCCGCCGTTTCATCTTCCAGGATGACAACGCAAGATGTCACAGGGCCAGGATCGTTACAGGTTACCTCCAACAACAGAACATCACCACATTACCTTGGCCAGCACTGAGTCCCGACCTCTCCCCCATCGAGCATGTCTGGGACATACTTGGACAGAGGTTACGTCAACGTCAACAACGTCCTGCCAATGTCCAAGAACTTGCTGCTGCGTTGCAACAGGAATGGGACAATCTGGACCAAAATGACCTTAGACGTCTCATTAGGAGTATGCCACGTCGGATCAATGCTTGTTTGGCAAACAGAGGAGGATTTACCCGTTACTGACTTGGTTATGATGCTGTGGTAACTTTGCTGTTTGACCCCGGGTATCATTTTACCCTTATAATGGTCAGTTTGTGCCTTACTTAGTCTAACGATCATTTGGAATAAATCGATGAATGTGAACTTCATTTCATTTTGTCATTTGTTTCTTCGTCAGTTTCATTAGGTGACTTTAATAACACTTAAAAATCAAATATCCCCTACTTTTTTTGAATAGTATATAATATTACTTGAGAGAACACAATGTCTTTAGAATTAGGGGGGGGGGATGGCCGAATGGTTAGCATCTGTGCACTGTATCATAAGGCCGGTCATTGAGTCAACCGACGTGGTTTCGATTCCCCGGTTGTACGTGACAAGGAGTAGGGTCGCCTGTCCATCCTCGTGGGTTTTCTCCGGGTCCTCCGGTTTCCTCCCACTGCTAAAGACCCCTTTGCGCAAGCAAATTATTGAAATAAAAAAATTGAACCATATGTTAGTCCTAAAATGACCTAGTTTGTGTCAAGTGGATGTTAAACCCCATTTCTCTCTCTCTCTCTCTTTAGAATTAGTAGGACATGTGAGACATGTCCCTACCACCACATCTCCCCCAGAAAAATATTATGAGAGAACCCAATGTCTTGAGTATTAGTAGGACATGTGAGATTTGTCCCCACAACCACATCTCTCCCATTCATATGATGTAAAACCGAGGTCACATGTACAGTTTTGAGTGCAAGTAAAAGAACCTATGAAAGTTGGAATTCGAAATAGGAGTAGGCAGTAGTGCCGCTGCCCAGGCAAATTTTCTTCATAGAACACTACATGACGTATGCTCGTCTTCATTAGCCCAGTCGGCGCAAAACAGTTTGACTTTAAACCCCATTGCATTTCATATTTTTTTAATCATTATACTTATTTATGTGGATGTATTTACAGGAAAGAGATTATAACATTATGAATTTTTTTAGAATGGGGACGGTGAATCATGGTAAGTAAAATAAACTCTTGTCTAATAGTGTTGCATTGTAACATACATGTAGCTTGGACATATTCTGTCAAATGATTTTAGGCTGAAGTGGTTAGCAATCTTAATCAAGGGGATAGCTTTCTCCCCTGTCTTGTCAAGGGTTCAAATTTTGCTTGTGCCCCTCCACATAATTGCTAGAAAAAACTGGTTGGACACGGACAAAGTCCGATTGAATTTCAACTTCATGTCCTCATAGATCCCGTAAATATCTTTCCTACTAGTCATTGCTAATAGCAGGTTTTTTTTGTCAATTGTTCTCTATGAAATCATCCATATTTTGGATATGGTGTGTATAATTAGAATATCTATATAACATAATTGTCATATTATCTTTCCTTGTCGGTCAGTATTTGCAATAGCTTGGGCTCTATTAACAATAAAATAATACGCTCTTGTAACTGTAATGACATAGATGGAATAACATGTGTGCTGGCATGTTTTTCTTAGGCATAGAGGTGTATATAATATGGTGGTGGTCGAATGGTAGGGAATCACCCTTTCGACAAGATGTCACAAAATGTGCTTAGTCATTTGGGTGGTACAAAAAACAGAGGGCTGCCTGTTGTACACGTTGGTTTGCACGAAAAACAGTTGTGGAGGCAGGGGGATTTTTTACCTTAAATAGCATTTAGATCATCCATAAAACATATATAACCCCATTCCTTCAATCAGCTTTGGCTGTTCATGTGTTTCGATATTGCCTATTATTTTTGATACATATCGGTTATGTTTTAATTTAGATAATATAGCTAAGGACTGTCCATTATGGAATAGAAGTATAGCTTCAGCCCCTCAATTGTACTTTCTATTTAAAAAAAATAATGGACAGTCTGAGGCTATTATCCAACACTTCACTTCACACCCTGGACTACTGCCAGGTGGAGGACAAGGATTAGGTGCATATCAACTTAGACAACCAAATTGAAGTTGCTGTTTCCCAATGATGATGTAGTTTATAACCAGAGAATAGGGAATCTCATTATTAACAAATATTTTATATGAAATTATTTATTTATTCATTAAAGATTTAAAAGAATGATGTATGATGACATTATTAACAATGTGATGATAGATAAACTTCAATGAAAAATAGTTAAATGGAGTTATATACACTTTCTTTAGGTTTATTGATAGAGGGGAAAAGTGAAAATGGTATATATACAGTTATATATAATAATAATAAATGCAATCTATGACAAGGGATTTATAACATCTGTCAACCTGGTTGATAAATGAGAACAGGTCCCGTTTTCACAAAACATTACTAAAAAAATTTCACCTTATTTTAATTAGAATATAGCCCTTTATAATTATTTTTATTGTTTTAATGTATCAAATACATCAATAAGAAACTATGTGCAGATTTTTGTGTTTCTGGATCAAAGATATTTCTCATAAACAGCTGAGTAAATTCTTAATTTAAGTCTGAGAATGCTTTGTGAAACCGGGGCCAGATAGTATTTTCAGGATACAAAAATAAATAATATGTTTATTTCTTAAAAATGCAATGGTTATATGAAATCAAGGAAGATCAATAGTGTTAAAATGAATGCCCTAATTAAGATTTTATGTTTAACTGTTGCAATTACCATACCAATTTGTAAATTCATAATCTTTCTATGAATATATTGTTTTATAATAATGAGAATACTAAGAATATAAAGCTTATGGCACATTTTCTAACTTTACTAGATCAAGAATCCCTAAAACTTATAGAATAGTTTTGAAATTAAATCTACTGTTTTTGTCTATTATAATTCTTATCTGTAGGTGTCCACAAATAAAAATAATAAATACAAGTTACTCAAATACATTAACATCTTGAGCGCTATGGATCATCATCTATATCGATGTCCAATTCAAACGGTACCATAAAACACAAATCCCTCAATATAATTTTCAAATATATATAATATATTAGATAGATTTAATTATTAACACAGATATATAAAACCTGGTTTTCTTTATAATATACTTTTTCTATTAATTTACTTCACTGTCAATGAGTGTTTTTCCCTCAAATAATCAATAAATATCCAAAGAGCCATATTGTTGAATTATATGTCAATAGATTGATTGGTTATTAGGCATTGTGCAAATCAAATTATATCAACATTGGCTTTATAAATATAGCATTTCAAACAAAACCAGATTTTCATTTTACAAAACAACCTATCAAATATATCAAATAAAATGACATGCAATAGGAGTATTCCGACTTTTCTGAAACTTCAATCAAATTGACACTTTTACTTTTTTTTACACAATTAATGAGGTCAAGCGGAAACAAGTTATATAAAACAAAATATTTCTGGAATGCACTACAAATAAAGTGTACTGTAAATTTGACAGTTGTTTTAGCATGACTTATATAGAATTTTATTTTTCTTAACAGTGCCAGATTCCTAATGTTGCAAAACACTTTAATTGGTATTTTAGTTGGCTCCGAAAAGTGCACACCTGCTGCAATCTGATTAAAATAGCCTACAGATCTATATTTTGTGTCGTTGTTTTATACTTTTGATGGCCTCCACTACATCTGACCGGTTGTAGTGGCAGGTCGAGCCAGGGGTCATAGAAGCAAATTTTGACTCTATATGACGTCAATCATTCGATTAACCAATCAACATTGGTGTCCAAAAGTGGCTTTTGCTTTGTCTTGTTTTCTATGTATATGAATGAAAATTCACAGTTCTGCTTGTCACACGATAAGAACTCGACTCAACAGAACATTTAATTGACTAATGAAGGTTATTAAAAAAAACCTTCCAGATCCTGGTATATTGATGACAAGTAGAATAAAATTTTGAACTATCAAAAAAGAATCGAAGAGGGATCTGTGTCTTAATCAGATTAACCCTACTTGGTAGACTGGCCTATGGTTTATATACTTGTGAAACGATCAAGTAAAACCTCTTCACATATTACATGTGTTTATTGTTGAAACAGTTTATAATACTGATTAAGTATAGGTAATAACAAATCAAGCTGTAAATATTAATATACAGAGAGGAAACCGCCATTTTATCTAAATATCAACAGAATGGTACCCTTTTATTGTTAAATGTAGGTTTTAGATAGTGCAACTTTCAAAATTCATCAGTTATTAAAATAAAGGAGAATTTATATTTACCTGAGTATTGGAGCAAAGAAATGATTACAAATACCACACAAACACAAAATATTTTACAAAATTAAATAATTATAAATGTGAGCATTCTATAAGCAAAGAAAATTATACAGATTCATGACACAGTAACAATGAACCCAGCCATTGCAAAGGTAAACAAAGATAATGAACTATTTGGAATAAAACCTTTTTTTTTTGTATTTCAAATAACAATTAAAAACTTGTGTACTTAGTATTTAAGGACGGATCATAAAATTCAAATAAGTAATTACAGGAATTCATCACAACCACAAATTACAAAATTTGTCTTTTAATTTCTTCCCCTATCTTTGCTTTTCAGCTAGGATTCTATGTGTACTCAGTGTGTGATCATGCGAAAACAATTGGGAGTGTTTCCAAGCGCACATATTTTGTGAAGTGTGATGATTAGTGTCTTTTATGTAACATGTAGTAACTAATATCATGCAAGAGAAACCCCACCTTGTGACATAAACAGGAAGTGGTTTCCCTATTACAACAACATCCATTTCTGCCATGAACAGAACTTTTACAAAGACACACTAACCATTTTGATGGACACATATGAACATTATGCATGCATGACAGATGTACTATGTAGAAATAGAATCCTAGCTGGATTTCATATTTAACTGAAAAGATATTGATTCAAAAAACTGCCAAAATCAAACATTTGTCAAACTGCCTAAAACTCTACCTTTCAAAAGAAAAAAAAACAGATCTATGAAAACTTAGAAAATAAAATTGTATGGAGTTTTTCTATAACAAAGAGATTAATATTATGCACGTAATATGAGGTGTCTTTTTGTTCTCACTGCCATTATGACAGAACACACTTTACAGCAGTCTCATTGCACTATTGTATATAATATATGAAATGATAAAATACCATCAATTTATGAAATATTTGATCCTGCTTTAATAAGTCAAATCATTCACCATTAAATTAGTTTGTCTGTTTTTCACTGGTTGACCATTTCCAAAGTGGCAGACGACGGTGCCAGCACGTCATATCCATCTTCCAAAGTGTTAAACATACAATGTCTTGGCATCAAAGAATGTTTTATAACAACAGTTGCGGATATCGCAGTCACATTGGCACAAACACAATAATCCGTCCCTTTCAACTTAAACCTTGAATTTCTTCTAATACTGATATTAGATTGTCTAAACCATTTAAATAACCATCTTCATGGTTACCTTCAACCCACTCCGTCCTATGATCAATGCATTTACCATCAGGTATGGGTTCCGTTTTACCAAAGTCTATAATCCACACATTAGCGTTACCAGTGTTATCATGTACAAATAATAACGAACTACCTATAACCTGAAAAGTAAAGAAATATAATTGAATAAATGCTATAAAAATTATCATAGCTATACCAATTGTAATGAAATCTCATGTATGAAAATATGACAGATATGCATAAAGAAGCAAATAGTCACAGATGGCTGCTCAAATCTCTCAGCGACATTATATTATTGTCTATTTCGAAGCATTTCAGCAACTTTTGTGACAGTTGTCTGATTTTATTATAAAGCTATTTATTGTTCTTTGTATTATTGATTGTTAATAATTAATTCTGCTAATTGGTAGGATGCTAGTTAAATTACTACTTCTTGAAAGACTATTTACATTTATGGGCTATAGTCATATAGGCCATTCCAATAACAGACATGATAATACAGGGGAGTTGGCTACCGGTATGGCTTTTTTACGAGTGATTAAACTACCAATATAATTTTAATATACCATTTTATAATTGAAGACACATAATTTTGGAGGAATATTGTTGGTGTGCATTTGAAGCAGGTACAGGTCGGCACACTTTTTTCTATCATATTACGAAAACACATAATTTTGCAGGAATATTACTGACATAAATTTGAATACCGCACCTATGGTGCACCTATTTTTATTATGTACGAATTTGAATATTTTGTTGAAATGTTATTTTAAATACGGTCTGAATCCCTCTGCTTAAATAGGTTAAGACTAGTAATTATTTCCCCCTATTTCATGATGTTATAGACAATTTTTCCCTTAATTTATTTCTCCCCTTTTCCTGCATTTTTTGGTTGACTTGGAGAAAAGGGGATCAAATTTGCAATTTCACAGCAGTTTTGGGTAATACTGATGATATTACAGTGGCGGGATAGGGTGTGTAAAGTGTTTTTCTGTAGAGCAATCATTGTGTCAGAAGTGAGATTTTTGACATCAACATCAAATCCCTGTAGCAAAAAATCTAAACGGTCCACCTCCTCCCTACACAATTATGATGAGGAGATTGCCAAATGTGGACCCCTATGTGCATATAAAGTTTGGAACAAACGGAATGTCGAGCAAAAAGCTACAGTCTGAGATGTTACAGCCATTCAACATTGAAGTCAATGGGCAAATAATTGTTAGCCTGAGCCCAAATAACGATGAGAGTTATGCTACTTTATTTTCAGTCAAAAATGTCTGGCAAGAAAAATTTTGAAATGGCAACATACGCAATCGTTTGAAACTTATGTTATGACAATTTAGATTTTATAATACTGTCTACAGATTTCATTCTTTTTATCTGTTCATAATACTAATAAATCTGTAATCATTGTTTTATATAAATTGCTCCAGAACATTTTTTGAGATAATATTAAACCTCACCTCATGTCTCTTGAAAAACTCTGAAGATTCCTGTGTTATTCTGATTGCTCTGAGCCGCTGTATATATTTATTCTGAAAAAAAACAAAACATACCTTTTTATGCCTTTAACGAATAGTATTTAAGTAAAACCATCCCAGAATTATGTTAATCTAATATAATGTAGTTATAAAATTCATTCATTTTAGACTGCATTACCATATATTTTGTAAAGCAAATTACCTGTTTTTAGAAAAATATATATATTTATGGTAAATATAGTTATAAAATGGATTCCCTTTTGCCTGAATTACCATATATACTACTTCAGTTAAAAAAAAAATATGGGCATTACGTAAAAAAATGTCAAATAAACTTACAATAACTTCTGGATTTTCGCCTATGAAGGACTTTAATGTTTCTAAAACTTTATCTCTACCTTTAGTCTTCTTAAAGTCTTTACTTGATGCACCATCACTTTTCTGAAAATATAAAATGTATACAAATGCCAGTTCATTTAAGAGGGGGGGTTTGATGTCCGAATGGTTAGTGCCTGAATGGAGAGGGGGGTTTGATGTCCGAATGGTTAGTGCGTGCGTGTTGTATCATAAAGTCTGTCATTGAGTCAAGTGGCAATTCCCCGGGTGGATGTGACAAGGAGTAGGGTCGCTTGTCCTACCTCATGGATTTTCTCAACTGCTTAAAGACCCCTACACGCAAGCAAATTATTGAAATAAAATTGAACCATCCCAAAATGACCTAGTTTGTATCAAGTAGACCGTTAAACCCCATTTCTCTCTCTTACCAAGTAAAGATATAAAACAGGGGAAACAACTCCTCAAGTATTATAAGGAGTCAAATCACAAATCACTAGTCATCTAGTAGTGTTTATTTGTTTTAATCTAGAGGAAATTGTGTTTTATTTTTCAGATAAAGGAATGGATAAAATCATAAATTTCCTTGACTGCTTGACAATGTCTCATAGTTACATAACAACTGTTTATTTAGGAAGCTTTATTGAATTTGTTACGATTTTACATGCATTTTTAAATCTTAAATATATTTGTAACATAAATTCTATTCATCTGATGAGGCTATTGACAAACAGTTTCTTTTTAAATGTAGGTAGTTTAATTATAACAAATGATAGTTATTTTTGTTTACCTTGATACCTTCTATTCTAAAGGCTAAATCAACTGATGAACTCATTTCATCTCTCCATTGCATATATCGAGGTTTAGTAATAGCTTGTTGTTGATTTTCTTCTTCTGTTGGTGCATTTGGGTCAACTTCTATCATCTTTTGGTACATATCCTATGAAGTAATTATACATTATAATCAGAGGTTAAAACTGACATAACGACACACGTAATACAAAACCAATAAGACAAACCTGAGGGCAAGACAATATTTGAATGTAACAAAATCAGATCACGACTATAACATATGACAATAATGTTTTCACAATCAAGTAAAGGCACTACAGATCAATTCTGTCAAACATGAAATGAAATGAAATGAAATGGGGTTTAACATCCTACTGTTCTGCTCCTAACCTGGGCTAATGAAGACGGGCATACGCCATACAGTGTGCTATGAGGGAAATTTTGCCCGGGCAGCGGCGCTACGGCATACTCTTATATCGAATTCCAACTGTCAAGGGATCTTTTACGTGCATGCCAATGTGTACACGGGACCTCGGTTTTTCGTCCCATTCGAACGACTAGACAGCTGTCCTTGTCAGGCCCTCCATCCTGCATCACTGACAAGAGGAAACCACACCGGAAAATCTGAATGAACTTTCTCGGCCAATGCAGGGATCGAACACTCCTCACACTGAGAAACTTCTGTTGTGTTAATTCAAAAGGTCAACAGTACCAGAGGCCTAGCTCGAAGGTTTGGATTACATCACATTATGATCCTGAGTCTGACAGATCGTTTCCAGGATCAACTAGATATCAGCCAAGGCCTAGAGGCCTGGCAATGCATGAAACTCAAATCCTCATTAATCATGACCTATGAATGTTTTTACTTCATCACAATTTTTTTTGTATGTGTACCCAGTATATTTCTTTTTAGCTGTGTGCTGTACTTTATGGATATTTCAATACAATAAATCATATATATTATTCAACCTATAATAACAATATTATATTCTTGATCGTCAAGGAATATATTTTTAAGTGAAGAGTTAATAATTCTATTTATGGAAACATAATGAACACTTAAAATAAAATAGAGCCTTTATCCAGCCTATACTAATATTAGCACATAATGGTAATATATCAGGGTTTAGAATATTTGTTCACTTTTATTGAAACTGTTTGATGTCAATGAAGGTTAAGAGGTGAAATTTAGGTTAAGGGTTTCATGTTTGCAATGGTTGACTGATTGATAGAAAACTCACACCAGAGTGGGATGGGTGGTATATCATATTTCTACTAGTATGTAAGTTAACTTTGTATGGGCTTAAATGTAATCTTATACGTAAATATAATATCTGGTATATTTCATAGGAATTATATTCTAAAAATAAATTAATATCAACCCTATCAGTAATTATTTATGTTTTATCTAATTTTACAAAGTAGGGTAAACCAAGTAGGTGTCATCAAGCGAAAATACATCAATGAGTTGCAAATATTTGTGGGACATTTCTATTCAAATAAAGAAACACCCAAAGCAAGGAAAAATACTACTGAAAATGTGTGCACTAACCTTATGGGTTTGGCATTTTAATACATAATATTTATTTCATAACATACACTTGGCAAATCGCATATATTATATATGGGGCACTTCAAAAATAATTTCATGCAAATGTAATTCCAGTTATTCCAAATGGTTTCATTTAATTAATGTACCCGGTATATCTATATATTTTCATTTTAAAGTTTATTTCATAAAGTACATGTAAATAAATTACCTTTCGTAAAGATGGCTTTTTTCTGGCTTTACTCAATTCTTCTTCTAGATATGTTCGAACACCCATTTTAATGTCCATAACACATGGCGAATTAAATTCACATAATAAATCTTGTAATTGTAAATACACTGAAAAGTGGTTAAGGTCATTGACAAATATTCAAATTTCAAAATAATAGTTATCTTATTAAGCCCTGGTGGCAGACATGGTCTGTTTCTGCATGTGCTTGGAATGATAAGGCTAGACATGCCAGTGATACTCAGTCTACCCCAAATTTGAATTCCCCTTATGATTTCCTGTCCACTACAATCACTACTGCAGTGCGCCAGAAAAATTTAAATTTGCACAACATACAATAAACTATGTCTCTGCATTTTTTTAATGGAATTCTTTCAACTGAAATTAATTTCATATGTTTTCCAGTAGAATAAATTGTTTCTGTTCGTAAAGATTGAGTTTGCATCAAGATTCCATATCACTCTAACATCTGAGATCAATTTTAGCCAATATTAAAACTCTTAATTCTTTTTTAATAATAATAATAATCTCTTATTTCCAAAGGGTAGAAAATTAGGCCTGGGACCTTTCTTACATTTTGCCCTTTTAATAACATCAAGCCTGCATAAGATCCAAACAAATTTGTGTACATAACAATAATAAATATATTAGACATCATGTTTGTTAAATGTGAAAATTATTTACACTAAGAGGTATGAATAGAGAGAGAAATGGGGTTTAACGTCCATTCGTCAGAAACTAGGTCATTTCGGGACTAACACATGGTTCAATTTTATTTCAATAATTCGCTTGCACGTTGGGGTCTTTAGCAGTATGAGGTCCCGGAAAAAACACATGAGGTTGGACAGGCGACCCTACTCCTTGTCACGTTGACTCAATGACAGACCCTATGATACAGCGCGCACATGCTAACCATTCGGCCACCCAACCTCCCTCCTAAAAAAAATTAAAATTGTGACATCCTTATGACTGCTTGGATGACATAGCTGCTTTGGCTGTATGTTTCACTGCCCCACAACAGATTTCTATTGTTGTAATGACAGAATCATGTTTAAAGATGAAATATCAAGCCAATTGAAAACAGACAAGCTAGATGTACCCGTATATCGTTAATTTCCACAGTATATGGTGGGTTTTGGTCATGTATTTTATAAAGTCTAAAAGGATACTTTCACCCGATCTTTCTACATCTCCCCTATATTCAGGGACGTACGGTCTTAATATATCATCCATTACTTCCTTGAAACATTTCTGTTCTCTGACATCCAACTTTTTTAATACAGAACCAGCTTCTCCGGCCTGGAAATTACCTGTATAAAAAAAAAAAAATCATTTAAGAATAGAGTAGCAGTGACATAGTTTATAGTGAAACCAAAATAAATTTGTTCTTACATTTAATGCCCTTCCAACATAATATTTTAGATAAAAACATAAAATTTTATTTGTACATTTTCTTGGGCAAAACTAAGGAAGACAATCACAATTCGCCTACTCTCTTTGGAATTGGAATTGACAATGTAACTTGAATGTTTTTATGGGAACTTCCTATGTCTAACCTCAATTTTTCATCTGATGAATGGACACAAATAAAAACAAGCAGTGCGGGGTGGGGGATTCAATTCAAACCTAGTTGAATAATCTTAAGTTTTTCTGTGCCCACACCAAGATTAAGACATATAATGTTCATCCCATTCTATAAATACATATTCAATGTGGTTGACAAAAACAGTGCATGTAATACAATAATGGGCATGATACAAAAGAGTTTAAGACATAGAAGGTAACAACTCTATATACCTTGATGTCCAGCAAGCTGAATCCATGGATACCGATTCTTCTTAAAGACTTGTACAAAAGGAGACCATCTGATAATACTTCGTATTTTTTTCCAGGAACTTTGCTGAAAAATCGATAAACAAATTAATTATGTGTTTTAGGACGTGCGTCTTTCATCTTGAAAGTTTTCTTGTACTATTGTCATCAAAGAAACGAAAAGATAACCTGCAGAATGCAGACGTCATTTATGACAAAAAACGCACTTCATCTACAAAAAACAAAAATTTTAACAAGAAAAAATTATATATGGATGTACAAAATTTTTAAAAAGTTAGTGTTAAAGTTTTGGTAGCGATAAATAAACAACCAATGATATCTGACGTAATTCTCTGTTTAAGTTAAGTCAACTGGATTTAAAGGTCATGTTAATTGTTTATAAAACATGAATGAACGGTGCGTCACTCTAATAATCCCTTTGAAGATACAATCTTGGGTAATGAATGAAAGGTGTGTAAATTCAAGTATCATCATTAGCATGGCACCTTTTTTGCGCTTTTTAAAATCCTGTTGCTGTTTTAATACAACATATAGTGAGTGGAGACAAAAATGTTATGTTGAACTTGCATTGTCACTCAAATCATTTTATGAAAACAAAAACGCTATTGTTTCATAAGTAATGTTTATTTTTCGGTGGTAATAAAAAAAATTCTCAGCAGTTAAGAAGATAAACAAGTCACAGAGTACAGTGATTAATTAATAGCAGCTAAAACTAGATTTAAGGGTAACAGAAAAATAATATGTCGGTTAGTTCGGTGCAATTCAATTTAAATAAGTCTATTTAATGGTAGATAATCTGTTTAAACATCTCAAATTTCTGTTATTTATAGTAAATGCATTGTGCCTGTCAAATAATTTCCCGTTATTTAGAGCAAAAAAATTAAGTCAAAAGAATATAAAATATGACAATTTTGGGGGGTTTGGGCACAGAAATTGAATGCTTTCGAATTTGGTGATATGCATCACATCGGAAAAATTATTGTTAGTCAGGGAGGATAAAATAATGAGAGCCCTATTATCAACCCTAAAATTGTAAGTTTTGAACCATAAACTCCTGAAAAATAACATATCCACTCCAGGTAACCTGAAAAAAGGCAATATCCTTTTCATGTTTCATGATGATAATGTAAAGTTTGAACTACCTTCTGTATTGGGGCAATGGGGATAATGTTACTTAAAAACAACAAACATGTTTTTCATTTAAAAATGGAGAAGGGGGGCTAAGACTAGAATGACCAGTACAGTGGTTATGATCAATGCAGACATCTTGTCAAAATTACAACTATTGATAACTTCGCTCAAAATAAAGTAATCTGAATGAAATTTTGAATATATTCATTTTGCATTATCTATTTTTGAAATATCATAGCGACAAAGGCCAGCTCTTTATCTAAATCTTACATAATGTCCCTTTAATCCATTTTTAATACATATTGAGACCATGTCACCAGATGAATTGATCAATGATAGATTTAGATTCACTAATGTAAATTTTGGGTGGATTGTTATTGGCTGGTATCATTAAGTATTGCCATATTGGCATTACATTTGTAAGATACTTAAAGGGACAATAACACTCTTGCTGGCTTGAAAGCTCCAGAAAATAAATAATATCTCTATCTAAGTACTAGATGTTTAAGTGTCCTACCTGTTGTTTAAATTATCGATTACATCCTATTTTACTTGCCCAGAGGGTTCGAAAATATTTTTAAATCAAAGTTTCATTTGAAAAGGTTTACGTTAGACGTTTCAAACCATTATGTTGAATTTTTCAAAATTTTTAAATAAGGTTTGTTAAGATGAAATTTGTATCATCAATTAATTGAAATATTCTAAAATAGTGCAATTTGTTGACCAGAATAAAGATTGGGACATATTATTCAGAGTGGTATTGAGCCTTAACTTGCTAAAAAATACAATTTAAGACTTTAGTTCTCAACAAAAATACTAATCAAGTGGTCAAAGTTTTCATGTAGAAATAAAAATCATTGAGCACAGAGAATTACCATTAACATAATCAGATGCAAACAAGTTAATTAGTGTTTGTGGCTGATTATGTTAATGGTAATTCTCTGTTTAAGAGGAGCCACGGTTGCTAGATGGTTAGGCGCTGGCTCGCTAGCCTGGCGGTCGGGTGTTCGATCCCTGCATTGGCCGAGAAAGTTCATCTGGATTTTCCGACGTGGTTTCCCCTTGTTAGTGGTGCAGAACGAAGGGCATGACAAGGACAGCTGTCTAGTCCTTCGGATGAAACGAAAAACCGAGGTCCTGTGTATACATTAGAATGCACGTAAAAGATCCCTTGGCAGTTGGAATTCGATATAAGAGTAGGCGATAGTGCCGCAACCTGGATAAAATTTCCCTCATAGCACACTGTATGGCGTATGTCCGTCTTCATTAGCCCAGTATAGGAGCAGAACAGTAGGACGTTAAACCCCATTTCATTTCTGTTTAGGAATTTCTGTGTGTTAATAGTGTTTGCATCTGATTATATTATGTTAATGATAATTATGTTAATTGTGTTCAATGATTTTTATTTGTACATGAAAAATTGGTTATTAAAATAACTAAGTGGAAATCAGCCATTAGTAAGGTTTATGATATATGATATACAGTATTATTCTTGATTTACCTGGTAACAAGATATATATATATATATATATATAGTCTGACATACATATATATATACATATATGAAAAGTTAAAGATAACTACTCTTAGGTATTAAATACACAAAAATATAAAAGTTTTTGAAAAAAGAAGTAGATTATTTGTCAATTACTATCACTTTCGCTTATTTTATTAAGCTCTTCAGATAATCAACATTTTTGTAATACAACAAACTAGGTATTGGTACTATATTAGAATTTCACAAATGAAAATATCAGATTGTATTTAAATCAAGGGTTTGACTTAACTAATAATAATTTTAATATCAGGAATATAATAGGAATTTTACAAGTTACTAAATGGGATGGTATCTAAATGAAGATTTCAAATGTAATATCATCATATTCATTCCACAAATAAAATAAATGACTAGTAAAAGTATGATGTAGAAAATAAAATAGGTGAACAATAATAATATAAAAAAACCCTGACAAAATAACACTCCCCAAAAAATGTATTACAAAACCTCACATCATTCTCATACCATCATCACAAGTCATTATAAAACAACAATTGTTCATCATGACTGTCAGTACTGTCAGTTGTGTTACAGTTAGTAGCAGAAATTGAGAATTTCCTACAAACCATTTCTAAATTCAAAGAGTTGTCAAATGATTATAATATGTTCTCTTCTAAATTAGATGACTTGAGAATGAGCTTATTAGCAATAATACTCCCAATTATAAGCCGAGCCATTTAGATAAAGATACAGCTTATAATATAATTCTCTACAACTTCCTTCAATAGACAAGTGTACGTATGCCAACATAACAATGGCCAAATTTTTTAAACAAACATAATATAACTTAATTAGCATATCAAATTTGATGGAAAAGATTGTCCAATGAGTATAACACCTATTTATATTTCCCTAGAAATGAGTGTCTTCTTGTTTGAAAGTGGACTTTAAGCCCCAGCAAGACAGTAATTGATCGAAAGGTTTAGATTTAAAAGAAACTTTATTCTGTTGTTTACAATATATATACTCAGGTCATTTTTAGACTAACATCTAGTTATCTTGATCATGGTTATTCGTACAATGTGGTGTGAGGAGGATTTTTACAAGAAAGGAGAACTTCCAAATACATTTTTTCACACGCCGTTTTTTATATATAAACCCATGGAAGATTTACCAGGTAACAGTGTTATACTTGGGTGATTACAGTAACACAAATTCAAGTAAATTATTTTTAAGTCATCCCTCTGCCACATCACTTACTTCTTGTGATCAATCTTAATAACATAGTCTTAAGTCACATAGCGAACTGTCAATTTTTTTAAGAAAACACATTATAAGTATAATTAATGGTTAAAAAAAAAAATGTCTCCTTGCACACATGATTTTAAAAAATTCTCTGTGGTGTAACCACATAATTTTGTCTGGCAAAAGTTGGCATTCCATACAAAAATATTTTATTTCTTAAAAAAACAATTAACATGTTAACCAGAGAAAAAGCAAACAGTATGTCACAAAGCTGGTTTTCATGGACTTTTTGCATTATATTGTCAAGGTACATAAATAAAAAAACATCCATTAAAAATAAGTATTTGTGTCTGCATTGCATTGTAGAGAGAGAGAGAGAGAGAGAGAAATGGGGTTTAACGTCCACTCAACACAAACTAAGTCATTTCGGGACTAACATATGGTTTAATTTTATTTCAATAAATCGCTTGCGCGTAGGGGTCTTTAGCAGTGGGAGGAAACCGGAGAAAACCCACGAGTTTGGACAGGCGACCCTACTCCTTGTCACGTACAACCCGGTATTCGAAACCACACCAGTCGACTCAATGATAGACTTTATGATACAGCGCGCGCACGCTAACCATTCAGCCATCCACCCCCCCTGCATTGCATTGTAGGCCCCCTAAAATCAAGAGATAAAACCTAGACTATAGTATAACACCAAATCAAGTCATCAAAACAATGGTATATGAAATCTACAGGCATTATATACAAAAAGTGACACCATCATTCTAATAGAGGGATTTCCATTTATATAAATTGGATGCTTTTCTCAAAATTTCAACTCACATAAATTGCCACATATTATAATCATCTTATGTACAACACCTTTACTTTGCAGTCTTTAGCCAGAAATTTTAGTTTTAAGACATTTGAATTCACCACTAAGTTTACATCACTAGATAACATTTGTCCGATCAAATCTGTTATCTAATGTTTAATTGCACCTAAAAAATATTAGTAAATGTTTTTCTCGGCTTCCATTTATTTGCTAAATGTTGATGATTGAAAAACGTGTAAACACTTAAGTCAAAACTTATTATGTAACAAAACATCCATCTACATGTACTGTATATACAATAATCGTTAAAAGAAACGTACTCATATATAAACACTTAAGATAGTTCTTACCTCTTTTTCTTCAAGATTGGAAT